ATATAATATATTGTATATTATATATGTGTATATATATAAAATATATAATATATATATGTATAAATACCCGCATAACAAATTTGTCTCCCCCACCCTAAAATTTTATTATTAATATTAATATTAATATTTCATTTTTTTATCTCTCGCCTTCCTTGTTCTTTTTTTTTCTTCTCCTCTCTTTCGTCAAATAGTTATTATTTTTTCTTTTAAATTCGTCATCATCGTGTCCTAATCAATTTTTTTATCGCTCGATCATTCGTTTCATTTATTTACGTATATCTAAGTATTTTTCTTTTTCGTATCGATCTTTGATTTGATTTGATTTTTTTTTGTACACGAGAGAATATCATTTTTACATGTGGGAGGGAACGATATTGAAAATCAAGAAAAGAAAAAAAAAAGAAAATATATATAAAATAGAAAATACCATGATTAATAAGAGTTTAAAATATTCTTTAATGTTAATACGATATTTATGTTAATTCGAAGGTGAAAAAAAGAGAGAGTGGTATATAATAATATAATTTTACAATTCGATAATTTTATTTAACAAAAACAATATGACTAAAATATTAAATGAGAATAAATAAAAGAAGTAGAAGAATAAAAAGTATGATAGTGGTAGAGGGGAGGGGATGGGTGGTAGGGTTTTGTATGGGTAGGATAGAAAAAAAAAAATTACCGTAAGAATTTCCTGCAAAAAGCGTTAATCTCGTCGTTTGAAGAGATATGTAAATTGGACAACGTAATTGTCGCAACGGTTCTTCCGTTTGACGTTTTAATGATTAATAATCTATCTTGCATCGTACACGGCAAACCTACTTGCAATCGTATTCGTTAACCAGGTAAAAAAATTTATCAAGATAATCTATCAAACGGTGTTTGTTAACTCTAAACGATCATTTCAAATCATTCTAAAATAATTATATCAATAATTATATATACGAGAATAGAAAATATATATTTAATTAAAAAATTCGTGTTAGAATATAAATAAAAAAAAGAAAAATGAAACTAATGAAAATCAAAATGATCCCTGGCTAAAAATGACATCGTCATTCTCGAGAAATTTCCACACACACACACACACACACACATTTATTATATTTATGTATTTTTATGTATTGTATATACTTTCTTTTATTCCCTCCCTCTCTCTTATTCATTCACTCACTCACTCACTCACTTATTCATTTTCAAATAATTTCGATCAGACTTTCAATATCGCATCGAGGAACGAGTTAAGGACGAGTTTTGGGAACCTTGAAGGTGGACACGACTGGTTGGGTAAAAGTAAATGACCTTACGTCGAGTATGCTTGGATAAAAAAGTACGAGGAGGAATGGTGGGACACGCATGTTCCTTCGCACACATATATCCACACACACACACACACACATACACATGTATATATAGTCGAACACAAAAACCGATATAAGATAACTATAAAAGTGTTATACGTGTGACCTATCCTCGCGATTGGGTTCTACGAACCCAAA